AACACCTTTAAAACAATTGGTTAATGACTAATAAGTAAAATAATTGACATTATTCTCAATACATAAAAATAATTTTCAAAACATTTATTCTTTTTTAAGAGGTTCTTGAGATTCTTAATCCTGAAACACCAAAGAAAGTAGAACTAAAATTAAATCGACTCCGATATAGAATTATTCGAAGTAAATTTTGTAATAACGGTGACTTCTTAATAGTTACATCTGATAATTTTGAATTTAATATTTTTAAATTTAAATTTTCTAATGAAAATTTAAGCGAGCAAGGCTGGAAGATTAATAATTCAATTTTCTGTGGAGCGCTTGCAGATACTATGACATGTTATATAAACGATATAAACGATGAAGAAAAGATAATACTTCTTGATAGATGTGGAACATTAACGCAGTGGAATTTTAATACATTATTATTCGAAAAACAATATCAATTGCATAAACAAGAGCCAGGAGATCATTCTTATATTATCGTATTTAATGAAAATTCTACATTACTTGCAGTCTATTCATATCTAAGGCATATTGTTTATAGTTATCCAGCTTATATTTACATTTATTTGACCGAAAATTCTCTGCTCTTATCAAAATGTAAGTTCCAATTTATATATTGCTATTTGCAAACAAGTGTTATAATTTTCAAATTTGAAATCTGAACACCTTTTTGCAAACGAGATAATCACTATTTCAAGTTTACTAAGTGTTTACGTTATATTTCGAAAAAAAACTAATTAGTGTTTGGTGCACTAATAATAATGTTCAGGATTCAAGGATCCTCACTAACCTTAATCCTAATCGTAAATTAATAATTGTGATAAAAATCCTATAAAATACATGTAGCGTTAAACACCACTGGTGATTTACTACAATTTTATAACCTATTATTTTAATTAATAGGCAAAATTACAGAAGTTGGAATTTATTTCTTCTGATGAAGAATTAGAAATATTACTTTTATTTTTTGAGGATGGTAGTCTTGAAATAAGAGATCCTTACAATCTTGAACACGCTATCTGTTACGAGACTATTTCGAACCTGTGTGAAGAGCTATTAGAACCATTAAATGGAGCTTCAAAAAAAGAAGAATTTAAAACAATAATATGTGAAAAATTATACTATACATCTGATGAATGTTTATGGGTTCAAGAGACTTCTGTAAAACTATGGATCAAACCTTTACGAGAAAAGTTGAAAGATTATAATAAAATGAGAATTCTACCAATTCTACCTAGCAAATCTCAAATGCAAAAAATTCTGAAAAGATTTATAAGTGAAGATGATGATATGAACGAATCGCGATCATATAATGGGTCATTAGTGAAGTGGGAAGTAAATATACAAGGAATAAAAAAATTTTTGAAATCTGATTTGAACGATGATATAGTAAATTTAGATTCTTTTAATTTTCATGATACAAAAGGAACTGATCATATTTCTGTGATTATGTCGATTTATAGTTGTGATGTATTTTGAATAATAATTTGGTAATTATTACGGGTTGTGGTTTATTTGTGTGGTCAATTTGGCAGAAAGAAAAAATTAGATTACTATATTTCATTGATATGGATTTGTTGATAGGAGAATTAAAAGATTTATTAGATTTATTTGATAAGCACGAAAAAAATTCATTGCCAGTGCCAAATTTTGAACTTTTTATGATTAATCGTGAACGATCATATGATGGAAGAAAACTTTTTGAAGAATTACTAGATGCTTATACCAAAGATGGCGTCGAAACGAAACCTACCCGAAACTAGTTTCGGAAGGGTTCTAATCCGAAACTAGTTTCGGATTTTTTAAAAAAAATCAAACCTCCGAAACCCGAAACCCCGAAACTATAATCAAACTCAACAATATAATATTGAAGCTTTTAAAATTTATTATAAAGTTGACTTATTTTTAATGAACCCAAAATGTAAAATTATTTTTGAATAAATTATAACATTATATAGATATATAACATGCATCAAGTGCGATTAATGTATATTAAAGAGATATATAGCATACATCAATGCATTTGAAAGTGATATATAATACATTACAGCTGTTTTTATAAATTCTGGGACACCTAAAATTTTCTCGTTTCCCGGAATCTTTTCGGTTTCGTCCGGTAAATTACCTAATTCTCCAGACTGAAGATTCGAAAATAGCGATGTAGTTTCCGAAAAGATTCCAGGAAATGAGAAAAATTTTTAGATGTCTTGGAATTTATGAAAACAGCTATAATACAATCAATGTATATGGAAGCTTGATAGTTTTTGGTGTTCAGGTGAGATTTAGGGTGAGGTTTCTAGTTTCGGATAAGGTTTCGGAAGTTATAAACTAAAGCCCGAAACTTCAGATTTGACACAAAAGGGTTTCGGCGACAACTTCGGAGAGAATAAACAAATAAATTATAGATGTTTTGCCAGTTTCGGGGTTTCGGTTGAGGTTTCAGGTTTCGGTTGAGGTTTCGAGTTTCGGATAAGGTTTCGGAAGCTATAATCCGAAACCCGGAACTTTCGAAATTGCCAAAAAAAGGTTCGGCGCCATCTTTGGCTTATACTGAAGATAGAATATTAATTAAATTATATGGGAATGATTTTTTAAAATGTTTATTAAAAGTTTAAAGAATATACAATAATAGGAAAATTATGTGGTAAAATATGCAAGGAAACAGGAGATGATTACTTTTTATCGAGGATTCAGTTTTTAGATATTTTTACCTTTTCATTTAGAGATTTAACACAATTTTCTCAATTGACGAAAGAATTTCTATCATATACAGTACTTTATTTATTCATTCATCTAATAACTTTGAGGAAATTAAATTTAGCAGATTCTTTTCGGAACCACATCTTCAGAGTCATATAAAATATTTACAACCTTATTTTGATAGTGAAGTTAAGCAGTATATTAGACAATTTTTTATTTTATTTAAGAAAAAATTAAGATTAAAAATACCTTTGAACTTTTTTTTGATTCTAAGAAAAATAAAAATAGAAATAGAAAAAAAATTTTATAAAGATTTTCAAACTGTAATTTTAATAATTCCACTACCAAAGTTTAGTTCTTATGACAGCAATTATGATCCTTAGAAAGAATTAATTTTTCCTAATAGTATTACTTTTTCTAAACACCAATTTCCTGAACTTTATAAATATTGGCATGGTGAAGCACTTCTTAATTTCAAGTGGAATATTATGGAAAATATTATTTTTTTGCTATTTTTATTTTATTTTTATGGGTTGTTTTCTGATAGTTGCTACAATAAATGGGCTATCTAATAATATTCAGAATCTACTATTAATTATAACTACTATTTTGGAGTTCTGCATCTTACTTTTGAAATTCGGCAACTTATTTATTCTCCTCTATCATGGATTACTGATATTTGGAATTGTTTTGGTATTTAAATTTCAATTTTATTTGATTCAATTTAATATTTATAAGGTTTAATATTCTTATATAAATATATTTTAAGATATAGGAGCAATATTGTTTCCTGTATTAACTTCTATTATTTGGTTGCAATTCTCTATGCCACCTGTTTGGGCTGTTTCAATTTCTACATTATTATTTGAGCTTAAATTTATAATATTTTTTCATGCTATTGAATTTGGTAGTACATATTGGGCTATGATTATTGGAGTTATACAAAATTCTATATCTTTTTTTGTAATTATAGGTTTTATATTGTTTGCCTTTGCACACTCTTTACATATTTTATTAAGATCAACAACTGATGATTTAAATAATTCAGAAGAATTAAGTTCAAACATGTTTTCAAATTTAGATACAGCATTTCTGGCTGTATATATGATGTTAACAGGTATTTTTATTTATTCTATCCTGGCAATAATTTTACTTATTTCTAATTACATGACTATTTATTTCGTATAAATTATTTATAGGAGATTCATCCTCAGTGTCTAATTGGTCATTAACTAACAATATAACATTAACAATTTTAATAATCCTTTTTTCTTTTTTTACAACTATTTATTTGATGAACTTGTTTATTGGATTATTGTCAAATTTTATCAGTGAAACAAATAAAAAAGAATTATTTTTACTTCAAAGAGCGAAGGTAATAATTTAAGACATTTGTTTAATAATATTACTTTAATTTATAATCATTCTTATATTATTTTTTAAATAGATATTATCAGAAATAGAATTATTTTATATGCTACCATACCAACGTAGAAAAAATAATTGGTTTCCTGAACTTATGTAAAGATTAATTTATTGTAATTTATTGCAAATAGTTTTTATTATAATTTATATAATTTTAATATTAATTTATATTTAAAGATTTAGTCTTGATAAACTTTATGAGATAGTCTCTAAATTACAGAATAACAATTGGGATGATACTATTGAAAGGCCATTCCTTCCTAGTACATTATTAGAAATGTTACACATTGATGCAACAAAAGATGAAACAAAAGATAATACAAATCAAAGATTAAAAGAAATTGAAGAAAGATTCAGATATTGATAGATAAGACAATTGAAGAAAAATATTCCAAATTATTGTAACTTAGCGTGAAAACAAGATGATAAAAAAAATTGTAAAAAAAAGATAGATTAGAAAATTAATTTATAGTACATGCTTTTTTTTTAAAAAAAAATAATAAATTATTTAAAGCAATTGTGCGATTTAAGGTGAATGGAATATAGAATTATTTTCATGTTAAAAGTATTATGCTGATTAATATTTGTTAAACGGACTAAGTCATTTTATGCTTTGAAATGATCAACGACTATTTAATTTTAACATCATTGACAAAGCAACAAAAGAAATAATTTTATTTACCCGATGATTAAATTATAAATTGTCAGCACGCCTTTATTAATTTTTAAAGTAGAATGAAAATAAAAAAAATCAATATTACAATCATAATATTTGATTCACATACTCTTAAAGTTATTTTCAACCATACAATTTTTGTAAGCATAAAAATCTGATATCACCGATAAAAAATAATTAATATATCAGCTGTAAATCATTTAAAATTAACCCTTGCTTTTCCTTTAATATTAACTTCGTCTCTTTTAATCTTAACTTCCGTATTTTCATTTTCCATGTCAATAGATTCTATGAGACTAACTTTTTTCACCATTTCTACGTCGTTATCAGAATTAGAAGAAATATTCGTATCATGATCCGGAATTTCATCGTTTCTCATAAAGTCAGTTTGAGAGCTTTCAGCTATGCCTTCATTATCATTTTCTTGAAAAATTCTAACGCCACGTTCTTTCTTTTTTCCTTTAATAAAATTCCAAACTTCTTTATGATAACGAGAAAAGTGATACTTCAACTCGTTACATTGAGGTTCATTGTACTTTTGAGAACACAAATTACACTGATATTCTCCAGAATCATTCACTGAAAAGTAATTATAAACCTTATGACGAGATGTACGTATTCTACTTTTACGATCTATCTTTAATTCATTCCAAATATTAAGATGGTTATCTCTAAAATGATTTTTCGCTGTTGAAATGTTCAAAGGCGAAGGATATTCTTTCTTGCAAATTGAACAAATTGTTTTCTCTCCATCTACGTTGTATTTATTAATAATAGGATGAGGCTTGCTTCCTTTACCCATTTTCGTCAAATTCAATATAAGAAAAAAATATTTGTTTAAAAAGTCAAATGGTAAATCAAACATCACAAAATGAGATCATTTTATTAAAAAATTATGCAAAACGGAGTGATAACGACTGCAGATCGTGAGTTTGTTACGTAAGTTTGTTACGTACATACATACGAACCTGAGCTTAAATATAATAACAGTGATGTAATTATTAAAATTATTATATTTATTAGATAATCACCGATGACTATAAGTTTTTTAATTGTCAATTCAATCAAAATAAATTCTTTCGCTTTTCGTTCAAACGCATTTTATTTATTATACAATATTAAATGAAAATGAATCACTTAAGTTACCAATCGTTTAGAAAATCCGAAGATTTTCTTAAAAGAAAAAAGTTACTGTAATAAGTATCTAGAACGACAAGAGCGAATTCAAAACAGCGATATTAAATTTTCAGGTAATTTAATACAAGCTATATATCGCATACCGTAAATGTGTACAAGGTTATGTCGATCACCGAATCGAAAAAACTTAAGTGTAAATTTTAATTTACTTTATATTTAATATTCAGATATACCAATATACCTAAAATTTCGTGCTGAAAACTTTTGATTAGAAGTCAAACTACGGTTATGATAGTAAAATCTTGAGTTATTTACGATTTTTCTGCTTTCTTAGATAACTCAAAATTTTACTATGATAACCGTTAGTTTGACTTCTAAGCAAAAGTTTTCAGCACGAAATTTTAGGCATATGGGTATATCTGAATATTGAATATAAAGTAAATTAAAATTTGCACTTAAGTTTTTTCGATTCGGTGATCGACATAACCTTGTACACATTTACGGTATGCCTATATGCATCTATTACTAACATTAATTTCTTCAACTTTTCGTATGCCATCCAACCAGGTTGCTGAATATACTGTGCCAAATTCTCCTTTACCGATTTCTTTAACATCAGATAATCTGTCAAATGGAATCCATTCAACCGCATCTTCATATGTACGGGCTCTAAGTTGGAATTCTTTCATGCAATCATCAATATCTTTATTTCTAATTGTCCACCTTGTGGTTATGTCAGGGTCGCAAGACAGACACCATGCTTTATTGGTGTTATTTTCATTACAACATGCACATTTTCCATATTCAGAATATCTACATAATGTTTTTCGTATCACTGTACGTACGTACGTACGATTTTAAACTTTATACAGAATGTGATAATTTTTCTACTTACCGGCTAAATTAATGCGAATAAGTGTAATGTAAATAAGTATTTATGCCTTGTTTGTGAACAGGTTTGCTGTTTTTATTTCGTAAATTATTACTGTATAGGCGCGTAATAACGCACATGGGCGTTATTTCGGAATTTCAATTTTTTTAAAAATGGCATATTTGACTCAAAATAACGCCCATGCGCGTCTCAAAATAACGCGTCACTCCATATGTACCAGATTATCATTCAAATAAGTAGTAAAATTTTTTCAAAATTAGCATAATTGATTCGAATTATCGCGCATGCGCGTCCCGAAATAACGCGCCTATACGGTAAATGTTCTTTATACTCACCGACTAAATTAATGCGAATGAAATTATTGTACGTAATGATAATAGTATTTCTTTATTATGAACTTTGCTATTTTATTCAAAAATTATTAAATTTTCTTCATACTCACAAACTAATTTAATGCGAATGAAATGATTTGGTAAATGAGTATTTATGATCTTGTTTTGCTTTTTATTTCAAAATTATTAAAAGTTCTTATACTTACGCACTAAACGAAATGATTAATGCGAATTAAATGATTTGTACATAATGGTAAATAAGTGTTTATTTCTTGTTTAGTGAACTTGTTTTGCTGTTTTTATTTCGAAAATTAAATGTTCTTTATACTCACAACCTAAATTAATGCGAATAAAATGATTTGTACATAATGGTAAATAAGTATTTTGCTCTTATTTTGTGAATTTGTTTTGCTGTTTTTATTTTGTAGAATGTTCTTTATACTCACGAGCTGAATAAAATGATTAGTGTGATTTGTACGTAATAATGAATAAGTATTTATGTTCTTGTTTTACTTAGTAAAATTATTAAATTTCTTTATACTCACTGACTAAATTAATGCGAATGAAATGATTTGTACGTATTGATAAATAAGAACTTATTTTGCTGTTTTTATTTAATAACTTATTAAATGCCCTTTATACTTACAAGCTGAATGAAATGATTAATGTGAATAAAAGATTGGTATGTTGTTTGTGAACTTGGTTTACTATTTTTATTTCGTAAAATCGTTAAATGTTCTTTATACTTACGTGCTGAATGAAATGATTGATACACAAATGAAATAATTTGTACGTAATGGCGAATAAGTATTTATGTTCTTGTTTTGTAAACTTGTTTCGTTGCTTTTATTTCATAAAATTATCAAGTATTCTTTATACTCACTAACTAAATTAATGCGAAAGATAGATAAGTATTTATGTTCTTATTTTGTAAACTTGTTTTGCTGTTTTTATTTCTAGAAATTGTTAAATGTTCTTTATACTTACATGCTGAATAAAATGATTAATGCAAATTAAATGATTTGTATGTAATGGTAAATAAGTATTTATGTTCTTGTTTTGTGAACTTGGTTTGCTGTTTTTATTTCTAGAAATTGTTAAATGTTCTTTATACTCACGCGCTGAATGAAATGATTAATGCGAATTAAATGATTTGTATGTAATGGTAAATAAGTATTTATGTTCTTGTTTTATGAAGTTTGGTTTGCTGTTTTATTTGTAAATTGTTAAGTGCTCTTTATACTTACCGACTAAATTAATGCGAATAAAATGATTTGTAGGTAAGTATTTATGCTTAATTATTAAATATTCTTTATACTTACCCACTAAATTAATGCGAATTAAATGATTTGTATGTAATGATGAATAAATATTTATGTTCTTGTTTTGTGAACATGTTTTGCTGGTTTTTTTTCGTGAAATTATTAAATGTTCTTATGCTCACCGGCTAAATTAATGCAAATGATTTGTACGTAATAGTAAAATTTGTACGTAAATAAAATTTTATGTTCTTAGTTTGTGAACAGGTTTTACATTTTTATTCATAAATTATTAAATATTCTTTACACACTCACAGGCTAAATTAATGTGATTGAAATGATGCAAATAAGTATTTATCTTCCTGTTTTTTGAACTTATTTTGCGGCTTTTCTTTCGAGAATTATTAAATGTTCTTTATACTCACTCACTATTAATGCGAATGAAATGATTTGTATCGTAAATAAGTATTTATATTCTTGTGAACTGGTTTAGTTGTTTTTATTTCATAAAATATTAAATATTCTTTATACTCACACACTTGATATAATGATTTGTAATTATTATGTGAACTTGCCGTTTTTATTTCGTAAAATGATTAAATGTTTTTATACTTACTAACTAAATTAATGCGAACAAAATGATTTGTACGTAATGGTTACTTTTTTTGTAAAATTAGTTTGCTATTTTTATTTTGTAAACCCTATAAAAATTTTTCGAAAAACGTAACCCGATTGTCGTTTCATTATCGTACCGGAAATGCCATCTTTCGAAATAAAACGTATATAATTTCCTGGGCATTTCCATAGAATCCTGATAAATCCCGGGTAAAATCAAATCCGGATAAGATTCGGCTTCTAATTATAATGAAGTACAAAAGATTAGAAGCCGAATCTTACTCGAATTTGGATCTTACAGGATTCTATAGAAATAACCAGGAATTTGTATATGTTTTGTTCCAAAAATTGAGAATATTCCGGAGCGGTAATCTGGAGTAAGTAGGATGCGTTTTCGAAAAATTTTATGTTAAAATTATTAAATGTTCTTTATACTCACCGACTAAATAATGCGAATGAAATAATTTGTACGTAATGGTAAATAAGAATTTATGTTCTTATTTTGTGAACTTGTTTTTCTGTTTTTATCTCGTAAAGGTATTAAATGTTCTTTATACTCACCGACTAAATTAATGCAATGAAATAGTTGTACGTAATGGTAAATAAGCAATTACGTTCTTGTTTTGTGAAATTGTGTTGCTTTTTTTTATTTCGAAAATTATTAAACGTTTTTTATACTCACTAACTAAATTAATGCGAACAAAATAATTTGAACGCAATGATAAATAAGTTTTATGTTTGTTTTGTGAACTTGATTTGTGATTTTATTTCGTAATTTTACTCACACACTGGATGAAATGATTTGTTCGTAATAATAAATAAGTATTTATATTTTTGTTTTGTAAACTTGTTTTGCTATTTTATTTCGTAAAATTACTAAATGTTCTTTATACTCACGAGCTGAATGATGATTTGTAAGTAATGTAAATAAGCATTTATGTTCTTGTTTTGTGAACTTGGTTTGCTATTTTATTTCGTAAAATTATTAAATGTTCTTTATACTCACGAGCTGAATGAAATGATTAATGCGGATGAAATGATTTATACGCAATGATAAATAAGTATTTATGTTCTTGTTTTGCAGTTTTTATTTCGGAAATTGTTAAATTTTCTTTACGCTTACAAGCTAAATAAAATGATTTGTACGTAATTGTAAATAAGTATTCATGTTCTTGTTTTGCGAACTAGTTTCGCGGTTTTATTTTGTGAAATTATTAAATGTTCTTTTACTCACGTGCTAAATAAAATGAGTAATATGAATAAATGATTTGTAAGTAATAGTAAATAAGTATTTATGTTCTTGTTTTTGAACTTGTTTTACTGTTTTTATTTCGTATTTTTAATATATTTTTAAAACTTTAAAAAAGAACAAAATTTAATATGATAAAATTTTTTTAAATTAATTCTGTAAAATTAATTTAAAAAAACTATATTATATTTGATCAAGTTTTTGTAAGTTATTCTTTTTTAAAGTTATAAAAAATTTTTATTGTAAAAAATATCAATTCACCCAAATATTTTTATACTCACCGACTAAATTTATTTGAATGAAAATAATAGTAAATAA